TTTATTTAAAAAATAATAATTAATTTGAAATAAATCGAAAAAAAAAAAAGAAAAAAAAAGAGGACCTATTTTGTATCGGGGAGTCTAAAGATGGCCACTTCATTGATGAGGGCACGTTCGGTCAACTTCAATTACGGTATGTTAAAGATGCCTTTGGATTCACACATTGAGCCACCTTATCTGACTCCCAACACATCCAAATAAAATGATTCCAAGATTTATTTGGATTATTTTAGTCCAAACACGTGATATCTGGTGCAGTTTTTTTTTGTGTTTTCCTTTTTTCTTTTCTCTTTTTTTACGAAAAGTGGTGCAATTTGCATACCCATTCATTCATTAGGTAAGGACAAGTACATTGCCTCACAAAGGCCAAAAATTTGTTTGTTTTTCTAACTCGCCGACGACAAAGTTTATCTGGAAAAAGATTGTCCAAGATTCGCTGTTGACAACAAAAACAAAATGGGCATGTGGGTTAGTTTATAATTTTTTTTCTTTCGAAAATAGGTTCATTAGTTTATAAAAATTCTTATTTTTGTAAAATGAATTGAGAAAAGTAATAGCACTTTATATTACAAAATTTTATTATTGATAAACTTACATAAACAAATCAAATTGAGAAGAAAGATGTGGCCCATCCGATAAATGTATATTTGACAAATAATTTAGGAAGAAAGAGTGAATAATTTGGCAATCAATGAATATGTAAGTCCAAAAAGAGATAGAAAATGAAATATAAACAAATTGTCATCACATATTTAGGCATGGAAAACAAAGCGTCACCATCTATTTTCGGGAAAAAAATTAAAACAAAGAAAGGAATTGTAAATTTGTAAGCATCTTTAACCAATTAGAAACTAAGACAAAAACGTAAACTGGTCCTGATTTTGCAGATGACTTTTCAAAATCGGAATCAAGTATACATGATGACAGATATTAAAAAATGGACAGTTGATTGAGGCATTAAATGTATCAAGTTCGCTGATTGTGATGCTAGACTCAAGGCCTTGCTCATCACCGAGAGGGCCTGGACTTCAAGGAACGTTTAAGCTCGCCCATTAACTAATTTGGGCGCACCCCAAATATATTCACAAACTTTCTTTCAAGAGTCGAATATCCAAACAACACACCACCCCAAAAAGATAAAAATCATAGAAAAGGGACAATGATATCTTTATAAGAGTCATTTATTGCACCGTTTAAATTGCACTGAAGTATAGAATAGACACTCTTAAATAGAAGGATCTCTAATATGACAATGATTGTTTTTTATTTAAGAATTTTTATTATATAGTTTAAATTATATAATAATTTTTTATTTATCAATATTGGTACTTTTTGTACATATGATAAAGAACTATATAAAAGGAAATACTTAAAAAAAAAAAAGGATTATCCACCAATCTTAAGATTTAAAGTAGAGATTTTTAATTTAGAGGTCTAAACTCGCAAGTTATAATTAAAATATGTATTTAACATTTTACCTTATTAAATCTAAAATTTTTAACTCATTACCTTGTATTATAAAGTTTTTAAGTCTTAAACTTTAACGGAATTTGATAACTTTTGAAAATAAAATATTTACAAGATCAATCCTTAAAAATTAAAAGTATAACAATTTAGTTCTAAAAGTTTAAAAATTAAAAAACTTAATTAGTAAATTAAAAATAATTAGTGGATAATTTTACCACATACATAAGAATAATATTAGATATTTATAATTAAATTGAGCAACTAAATTTGAAAGAGGAAATTTGATTGAAATTAAAAGAAATTTCTTGATTGTATTTTTCTGATCTCTTAGACTTTTTTTTAATATAGTTAATAATTTTTTTTTAATTTTATTTAGACGTTTTTCTTCAAATTAAGATAATTTCTAGATTTAATTGGAAATATTTAATACTATTTTAGTGTATGTGAAAAAGTTATTTACTAATTTTTTTAATTTTTAAACTTTTAAAACTAAATTATTACATTTCTTAATTTTTAAAAATTAATCTTATAAATATTTTATTCTCACTTTAATAGAGAGTTAACTGATTCCCATAGTTTAGGGGTTAAATCTTTAAACCCTTAAGTTTAGGATTAAAAATTTCATAATATAAAATAAAAAGTTAAAAATTTTAAATTTAATAAGATAAAGATTTAAGCATACTCTATTTAACCCAAGTAATGCAATATTTGTTTCGGACAAATTGAGACGATTGAAAACCCAATCTCTCTTCCCTTGTGTCCAAATGAAAAGGGCCCAATAATGAAGAGGTCATTTTCTCGATGGACCGGTTGAATGACCTCTAACACAAAAGGACCATATTTTCTGGTGGTCCATTAAAATGGACCTATTTAGGGCTACATAAATCTGTGCAGTGTACTCTGCACCACGACCTTCGGTTCTATTTTCGCTTAAATTCACATTTGCATGGCGAGCAAATTAAATAATTTAATTGTAATTTTATTTCATTAAAAGTAAAAAATTTTGATTTTAAATTATATGTAAATAAAATAAAATAAAAAATAAAAAAAAGTTATCTTTTTGTTATACAACCAATATAAAAAAAAAATT